TTGGTGGCTATTTTATTAGTTCAATTTTCAAGTTCATGGGACCTTCTATCAGGACCCTGCCTACATTTTACATTTTTTATTTATATACATTTTTATAGTACTATCTATATACTAATTTTGTGTTCTTATTATCCCGAAATTTCATCGAGACTATTCCTAATCAGTGATTCCTTTGTTCTATTATTATCCTTAGCCCTCTAATCATCGTGGCCTTCTTATGTCAGGTCTGTCACCATTTAAGGATCTGGGTACTGAAGATTTTCCTATTTTTATAGAGCATCACCTGCTGTGGTTAATCAACAATCATAGTCCTAACTCAGTTTTTCATCCCCCATTGGACTTGAACCTGCAACCTTGTGATTGATAACCTGGAAGCATAACCACTTTGCTATTGACCCACAGGACTTGATCGAATATTTCTTTTATTGTTTTGTAAAGATAATTTTTCTTGATTATGTTATTAACAAATTCATCTACTTCTTCAATTTCACATATTGAATGAAATTGTTTATTTGATTTATCAATAAAATATTGATCATGTACATTATCTTTATAAATTTCAGCAGCTTTTTTACAGAGATTTTGAAGAATATTTATTTCATTTTGATTATTTAGATTATTTATTTCAGTATCAAAATAATTATCACCTTGTAATGTTTCTATATAATCACTATAAGGAAATTTTTGTATGTAACCTAAAAGAAGTTCTCATATTAAACAGGATACTTTGTTTTTATATTTTCCTTTTTCGTCAAATAAAAATTCAAAAGCATTATTTATATTATCTATTTTTTTTCGATTTAGTATGATCCTTTGTTCAGAAAATAATTGCTTTCTTAATTTTTGTAATTGATTTACAGTACATAGTGAATTTAGAAAAGGTTCTTCCAAAGTTTGGATCAATAGATCATGTTTTTTATCATCTTCAAATGATTGTTTATTATTATCTTTTTTTATTTCATTTTTAATAACATTGTACAGTAAAGTATTATATCTACATTTTCATAAGTTGATTAAAGTGTTTTTATCTTTATCAGTTTCCATTAATGTTTGATTGAGGTTTTCAATATTTTTTGCTAGAACATTATCATTTGATAGTGAAACAACTTGTTTTCTATTGTAAAAATTTGCAATTTGTCTTTCATATCTATTATGTCTTAAAATTTCAACCTTCTTTTGTATTAGTTGATATCTTTCTCATCTTTTTTGTTGTAATGTAACTACATCTTTATTATCTTTTAGATTTTCATTTTTGAGTTCACGTATCATAATATCTATATGATGTTTATTATTTAATAGGTTAGCAGTTTCAATTTTAGGAATTTCTTCATTGATTTTATCATACTTTTCATTTGATAATGCTTTTAATTTCTTATTACATTGTATATTTAAAGCAATTTTTTGTTCTTCATACAAGTTTCTGCTATTTCTAATTTCTCTAAACCAACATCTATTTATTTCTAGATTTGGTATTTCTTTTTCTTCATGTATTTCATCTCTTTATGATTGAAATCATTTGTGCCAGGTTGTTTGTTCTAATTCTCTTATACATTCTTCTTTGAGTTCATTAAGTTTTTGTTTATCATTATTTTCTAATTTAGACTTGGTAATTTCAGAAAACCAAAAATCTCTTAATCTTTCTATTTCTGTTTCATCTTGAATTCCTTGTTGAATTCTATTGAATTCTGCAATATAATCAACTAAAAATCAAATCTATCTTTTCTTATTTTTTGAATTTCTTCTTTTAATTTATCTGTTAGATTTTGACTACCAGTAATTTGCATATACCAGAATTGAAAATCTCTCAATCGATTGATTTTAGTTTCTTATCCAATTCCAGTTTTGATTTCATTATATTTGATAATTATTCTTTCTTGATTGATACATAGCATTTGTAATTCACTTTTTTGTTTTTTATTTAGATTGAAATTTTGTATTTCTTTATTTAAATTACCATCTTCTTTTAATTCTTCAAGATCAAATGTTTCTTGAATTTTTTTTTAATTCTTGTAAATACATTATCACCTTTTTGATACTCAATTGGTGCTAATTGTGAAAAAAACAAATTCAGTAATTCATCATCATTAATTTTAGATTTATGTTCAACATTTTTTTGATATTTGCAATTTATATTTTTATTGTTAATGGTACATTTACTCATTTTGAAAGTTAAAGGAAAAATAGTGTTTAATTTCTTTATTTATATGATTTTATAAAGATCTATTAACCTATCAAAACATCATTTAATTTGTTTAACAAATACATTTCATTATGAATTTAAATATGAAATTCATTTAACGTAAAAAGATTTTAATTAATTTTTTTTTAATATCATAATTATCAATTTTTATAGCATTAATTTTAGTTCAGTTTAAGAAAATTAATATAAGAATATCATTAACAAATATATAAAATTATGTATGTAATTAAAAAAAAAAGATTTATATTTTTTATAAAAAAGGCCATATATATTATTTTTTATTTAATATTTTATTTTATTTTTTAATTTTATTTCAATTTTTATTTTTATTTTTTATTTTTTTTTTATTTTTTTTATTTTTTTTATTTTTTTATTTTCAAAAAAAAAAACAACAAAATGTCTAGAAAAAATTATAAAAATCTTGGAGTTTCAGTTTTAGAAACTGGGCCTGGAGCTCCTTCTGTTGTTAGCTTTAGAGGGCCTAGATATGTTATGAATATAACTTCAATTTCAAGAGGCAAGTTAGATACAACTTTTCCTATAAAAGCTCTTCAAGATGCATTTTATAAGTTTATAGATTTTATCAAAAATAAAGCAAAAAATCAACAAATTAATAATCAATATTTGGTATTTTTTTATTTTTTTATTTTAATTATATTATTTTTATTAATATTTTTTATTTTTAAATTAATAAAATTGAACAAATATTAAATAATTTTGGAGTAAATTTTGATAAGAATGAAATGTTTGAACAAAAAATAGACTGGATGGTTAAAGTCAGTGAAGAAATTATTAATATAGAATGATTAAAACATGTTTAATTTTTTGTTTTTTTTTATTATTTGTTTTTTTGTTTTTTTGTTTTTTTTTATTATATATAAAAAAATTATTTTTGTTTATTAAAGTTTAAACAATAAAGTTTTAAATGGTTTATGTTAAATTATCATTTTATTTGTTATTTATCTATTTTATTTTTATTCATTGTTTTTTTTTAATAAAAAAATTAAAGTAAGAAAACAATAAAGTATAAATTAATTGTCTAAACAGGAACAATAGGAAGTGCTTATTCTAATTACTTAATTTAGAATTATTAATATGTAGTTTATTTATATATTAATAACTCTAATTGATTGATATAAATAAATACAAAAAATACAAAAAAAAATAAATAATGGATGAAAATGAATAATTTTCCTAACCTTGATCTTCATGTTAAAGTTGAAAAATATCCAATATGTAAATATTATCCTAATGAAAAAGAAATTACATTTTATACTTATGATAATGCTTCAAAAGATGTTTGCATAACTGGTTACCCTAATAATATTACTTTTTAACTTTGAAAAACTGATAAATATATTGCTAAAAAATTGAATAATCAACAATCTAATCAAAATTTAGTATATATATTTTTTTTTTAATTTTTTAATCTATTGTTTTTTTTATTTTTTTATTTTTTTTTTATTTAGATTAATAAAATTGAACAAGTATTAATAAACTTTAGAGTAATTTTTGATAAGAATGAAACATTTGCACAAAAAATAGACCAGATGGTCAAAGTAAGTGAAGAACTTATTAGTATTAAAAAAACTTGATAATCCAAGTTTGTATAATAAATTATAGTTTTTTTTGTTTTTTTTTCGATTATTAAAAAAAAAAAAGTATTTTTTTTTTAATGTTTTATTTAAATAAATAAAAATATTACAAATATTTTTTGAGTGAATAATAAATAAAGTTAATATGGTCTGTTATTCCTATATCAAATTTCTCAAAATCTATATCAAAATCATCAATGAATTTTTTATTATATATAAGTGTTCTTTCATAATGTTTAAATTTATTAGTAGAGCTAATAAATGTATCAATGATAGATTTATTTATTATATTAATGAATCTGAAGAGCTTCTTATTATCATAATTGATAACTATTATTGTCTAGTTATTCAAGTTGTTATGGTACATTCTTGTACAAATGAGAAGTAACAAAAAGATTTCAGGAGTCATTTTTTTGTTGTTTTTTTATTTAACAAAAAGAAAAAAAATGATGAGATTTTTATGTTTTTGGTCTTTTTATATTAGCTTCTTTAGGTTTATGTACTGGCACATATTTTGCTTTTCTACCTTTAGGAGGAAATGTTTGAAGATACAAACCTTCAGGATAACTTTTATACATAGTATCTTTCTTTGTTAATACTCTTTCATATATTTCTTTTTTAAAATTCCATGTATATAATTGAGGTAATGAAAAATAATTTACATCTACTAATATTTGATTTTTTGGCACTGGTATTTGATTTTTAGCTTTAGCTTTAGCCTAGTTTTAGATTTAGTTTTAGTTTTAGCTTTAACATGAGCACCAGCAATTATATTTAAAAAAAGTAACAATAATAAGAATTTTAAGAAATTTCATTTTTTAAAGAAAAATAACAAATAATTTGTTTATTTATATAATTTTAATTCAAATATAATAAATAAAATTATAGTTCAATATCTTTATCATCTGTAATATTTTCTTTCTCTTTATCCTTCTCTTCTTCTTCTGTAGGTTTTTTTAGTTCACAGTATTTTTGCATTAGATCAAAAAGACTACTCATCAAATTACCAGAGTTGAAATTAGTTCCCATGCAAATTCTAATTTCAAATAATTAATCATTAATAGCATACCACAATCGCCAGTTTCAGAATTGAAAGTTTCTCCAAATTTTATCACATCATCATTACTACTTTTTATTTTAAATTGATACATCCAATTAAAATAATTAATTACAAATACAAAAGCATAGTTTTCTATATTAAATGTTTTAGCTACTAATAAATCATCATTATCAAGTTGACAAACTTTTATTTTTTCTAAATCTAAGCAAAAAACAAAATTATGTGGTTCATATTGACATTCTCTACATTTAATATCATATTTAAATTCCATTACAGAATTAAAATATTCTCTAAATTGTATATTACACAAATCTCTGTTCAGAAATATGTCACCTATAAGAGGGTTATTCTGTTTTGCAATTTCTTTATCACAAATTTCAAGAAAGTAAAATTTTAGTTTCAGTTTATTTGATATAACAGGTGTAAGTACTTCTGTTTGTATTGAGTTTGTTTGTATATTTATAATATTAGTTCTATCTAATCGATAATATGAAATTAGACTTAAATATATGACTATTTTATGCAACTCGATATTTTGATAATTTTTATCTATCTGTTGAAATATTTGAATATATGTGTATCTTTCATCTATTGGTTTGTAGTATAATCTACCATCATCATCTGGTACAGGTGCTTCAAATCCATCAACATTTGCATCAGAATCTCAATTTTTTAAACATGATGGTGGGTTTAAGTTTTTATTATTACAATAATCGATTACACAAGTAGAAAAGATTTTTTTTTGTTTCATTTTTATTGACAAAAAAAACAATAAGACATGTGTATTTATATATTTATAGAATTATTTATTTAAAAGAGATAATAATATAATATAATAATAAAATAAAAAACTATTTTGTTTATATTATTTTGGTTTAATATTATTATTACTATCACAACAATCCCCTATTTGACTCATTATTCTGTTAAAATCTACACCTCTTAAATGAGAACTTTATGACATTTCAATATAACTATCTGCTATAAACCTAGGAATTCTTACATTTAAATTTTGATTTTGTTTATTATAAGAATTATCATTTTTTGTTCTTTTTAAAAATAATTTACTAATTAAACTATTACAAAAGAGTATAAAACTGGCTATACATATAACTTTTTTATATTATTTATTTAAGAAGTTTGCTTAAGGTGTTAGGTATAACAACTAGTAAAGAACTTTTTGCTTAGATGTTCTATTTAAACTCTCTAATCTGCAACTCTTATACTAACTTTATTAGATCATTTATATTCAGATTGGAGATCTGTATTGGTTTTTATAGCCTAGTTTGGCTAGCAAAAATTTGTAGACTAAGCTGGGTCTAAAGCAAAATTTTATAATTGTAGACCAGATTAGACTGAAAAATTTGCAAAATTTTATAATTATAGGCCAGATTAGGCTAAAACATTTGTAAAATTTTATAATAAATTTTGTAAACCAGGTTGGGTTAGTTAAATCTAAGAAAAAATTTAATATATACAACCAAACTGAGTTGGCAAAAAAATTTTAACTTTAAATATAAACTGAACTGATCCAAAAAAAAAATTTTAACTCTAAATATGACTGGATCAGATCTTAAAAATAGACAATTTGCAGGCCTCTGACTCAGATCCTTATCTTAACCTTAGAACTATAATTTTTAAACTATTTTTATCCTTAAGGTAAATCTATTAGAGTAAGTCATATTTCTTTTTTATCACTAATCTGGTTTATGTAGCTATACTCTAACTATTTTTATTAAAAATAATTATAGTAAAGCTCATATTTATCTTTTATTAGAAGCTAAACCATTATCTAATCACTTTATCTTATCAATTCAAGCTATCTGGCATTATCTGAACATTTAGCTAAAATCAAACACATCAACACCAGTTTTCTCTATATCAGCACCTTTAGCTCCTATCTCTAGCAATTCAACACAATCTAGGAATCCTAATACCTTACCTCTAAATTTCACAATCTGCACTCACAATGTTCGAGGATACAATAAAAATCTTAAACAGCAAGTCTGAAAGAATTACTGTATTACTCATTCCCTAAACATTATCAGTATAACAGAAACTAAAATAGCAGAAGATAATGCTATTACCAAATTTCATAACTCAAAACACTATTCTTATTATTGGTTATGTACTAATAGTTCTAAAGCAGAAACTGCACTTATGATTCATAAACACCTCACACCCTATATATACAACATTATTACTCTTCCTGGCTATGCTATAGCCATAGACCTCTTTTTTAAACATGATTACAAATTCTGAATTATCTTTATATATCTACCATATGAAAACTCACAATTAAGACTTCAAATTCAAAATACCATTATTCAATGAATCCAAGAAGCTACTAACTGAAACATCTTACCTATAATACTAGGTGACTTTAATATACTACTTAACATCTCTACTTTCTCATCTATCAAATACAAACTACTGCAATTTCTATAATATAATAATATTTATGATCTAGCAGATCATACAAATACATTTTCTTATACTTGGCATAGCAGTAGACATCACAGTATTATTGACTATATTTGGGCCTACCTTCTTCTACTCAAATACCTCAATTCTTTTTACTTGGACGATGCAGAAAACTGCACCCAAAGTGATCACAAAATCCTTATATTCTCTTGAACATTTCCTCATATCCTTACAGGCAAAAACAGATATTCAACCAGAACCAAATACAGAACTTTTAACTAAAAAGCAATAAATAAAGAGGAATAAGAAATCTTTACTGACCAAGTTTCTCTTAACCTTACTACAAACAAAACATCTCTTTCTATTTAAACCTCTAAATCTCTTAAAACTACTTGACATAAAATCCAAACTAGTATTATTAATGCTACTACTAAATACATTCTCAACAAAAAAACAACAATTTGCAACTTTTAACAATCATTTTTAGCTAAAGCTACTTTATTTCATCTAAATCTTAAAAAACTCAATAACATTATTAGACAAGTTAAAGCCTCTTTAACTAACTCTTTATTTATATCTATACATCTTAATTCTACTATATACTATCTTAACTCAACACATCACCTCAATATACCTTCTATACCTAACTCTTATAAGCTTATATCAAGCTGGATTACTATCACTAATACTAAATAGTAAGCTCTTTACCATGCTCGAAACATAGAAAACATTAAATAAATCTGAAAACAAATAAATCAGCATCTCAATCTTAGATGCTCCAAACTCCAAACTAATTCCAAACTTATGATCAACAGCATTCTTAACTGTCACAAAGATCCAGTAAAATTTAATAACATAAAAACATCAAATTATATTATTACAAAACTCAAACTAATTAAAGAACACATCTAACACTATTTTGACAACTGGACTGTCTACAGATCTATTAATGATCATGAATTCAATACCAACTGGTCAAAGAAATATAAATCAAAAGCTATTACTAGTTCAAACTACTATAATTCAGCCTTGGTTGAATTTTCATTTGATGAAATTACTAGAACTCTTAACCTACTTCCCAATAACAAAGCATATAGTTTATCTGGAATTAGCTATGAAATGCTTAAACAGACTGGTTTCACTTTCCTTCAAGCAATAGTTGCTCTTTTTAATCGATGCATTCAAATTTTTTACATATCTAAGCAATAGAAAGAAGGTCACATCTTTCTAATTTCTAAAAAACCTATTTTTGATAAAAATCTCTCTAATACAAGACCCATCAGCCTTGTTGAACATATTAAAAAACTATACACAAAACTTCTTACTAATCATCTTAATCTAATACTTATACAACATTCTATTCTATCTCTTTACAACTATATTGCTTTACCTGGCAACAGCACATCTATTCCTATACACATACTTAACAATATTATTGAAGATGTTAGTTGCAACAATAAACAATTATGGCTTCTGTCTCAGGACATGAGCAAAGCATATGATTCTGTCAATTTAGAACTTTTTACAAAGTCTCT